GTATGTCCCTTTTGAATGACATATTCATAACTACTTGTTATTCGTCGGTAGGCGCTATTTTAACAACTTCCTCTCTATAGTGTGTTCGTCTGATTGACGAGGCGTCCCTCTCGCGCCTCATAATGCCTCTGACGGAAATGATTCGCGCCGGCGGCGGCCCAAGCACCGCATCTATCGGTGCAAGCAGCGCCACGGGTGGCTCCAGGGGCACTGGATCAAGCTCAGCGGCTGCTATGGCCACAGCAGCTTGTGTGTTTCTGTCCTTCCTGGCTTCATCGTCCTCCTCTCTTGTGACGGCTCCTGCTTCGACCTATTCTGTGCCCTCAGTTCCAGACACCAGTGTAGCAGGTATGTGCCTTACTTACTACGTATTGCTTTACGTCTTTCGTTGTTTCTCGCATCAATTAGGTCACTTTTTGTGTTTGTTTGCGTTTGTGTTAGTTGTGGGTCAACCACTGGCCGCCGCAACACATCATCTTCCATAAATGTTTTAGTACCGAAATGCGCTCAGTAGATGGTGGTGAAATCCAAGAACACAACGTAAAGACCCATTTTGCTAATTGTAGCTGTCATATATTTAGGAAGCCGATTAGACTGAATATGGTGTTGTTACTATTCTCATATTCGAAAAGGTTTTACATCGCCAAAGTGGTTAATTTGTTACCTTTTCGCGATTCAATGCTGGTTTGTTCACCAGAATAAACGCACTCGAGGTCAAAGGCTACGTCCAAAGAAAGTCAGAATAACTCGGACATTCTTTGTAGTTCTATATATACAGTAGATTCCCTATCTCATGAAATGTCACCCGGAATTCTGAAATGCGTTTTCTATTCAAACATATTAATTACGTATGGTTTCAAAAATGACAATCGTACAGCCTGATCTCAATATATTTAGGTTAAGTCAGGTTGCCGGCTTTTGAATGAGCTTCTTTCTGACCGCTAAGTAAAAGTATGTACTATAAAAAGTGGCTGCTTAAGTAGTATGCCTTAGTGTAATTGATTTTGAATGCCTTTATAAATTCAGATATATTTTATGGAAAACATGCACGAAAAATTATTCTGTACTTGTTTGATAGCAAATTACGCCTTCTTTAAATTTTATACTCAAAGAAAAGGAAGCTTTTGGTTTAAAAATGTTTCTAATCATGAGCTTTTCTTCAATTTTCAGGTGTTCGTTCATCGAACATCGTATCCGCGGATTTGTTAATGCTCCATATCTATTGCAACATTTTATGAGAACTGTGTGGGATCTTTCTCAAGCTATAGGCGAAAACGTACTTTTCCTTAAACGGGATGTACACAGTGCGCAGTTTTTAAACCTTGAATTCCAGTGTAGCAGCCACTGGGTTTCAAAATTATTCGGCAGTTTAGAAACTTTTTTAAAAC